ACACCATTACTTCAAATCTGTTACAGACACTCTTAAAAATAAAGGTTTGAAAAGGCTTTTTCCATTTTGGGATCCTTTCAGTGTCAGTTCTTAAAATTGCTATGACTTCTCCAAGTTTTTACTCATTTACATGACTTTTTTAGACCTGGAAATCTCAATATTTAAATGCATCGAAATGTCCAGGTTTTCAGGTTTTAATTCATTCATGCATTTATAAATTAACATTAGCCAAGATGGAAAAGGAATAGTTCACTCAAAAATGAAAACTTGCTGAAAATGTACTTACCCTCAGGCCATCCAAGATATAGACTTTTTTTTCTTATTACTGGAAATCAGAGTTTTAAAATGCATTGAAATTTCAAGGTTTTCCATGAACATGGAATTAATCGAAATAATTAGAGCCATATAGATCCTCATGTTTTCCAGTAATTTTGATCTGGAGAGGATTTTCTTTTGCTAAAAATGCTAGTTAATGTCATCGCATTGGACCCAAAAATTTGATTATTTTTGTACTTTTTTGAGCTTTTTTCCAACCTTGTTACACTCAAAAGTGACCGTCCTGCAAAAAAAATTGCATATAAATCTGTAATTATGCTTTATTATTACTCAATCTTGGATTCGATCTTTTTGTCAACTTGCTTTCTTTTATTTAGCACAGGTTTTGTATTTCTTTTTAAACCAGATCTGAGCTCACGCACCTCAGTTTTTGAGTGAACATTGTCAAAAATATACACAAATCATGCTTTTTTCACTCAAAAACTGAGGTGCATGAACTCAGATCAACATGGCCTACAATCAATCAGCTCCAAAAAGAAGCACAAAACCTGTGCTAACTGAAAGAAAACAAGCTGACAAAAAGATTGAATCCAAGATTTGCTGATAATATAGCATAATGAGAGATTTATAAGCAATGTATAATTCCGGTTGTTTTTGACCAGGAACACCAAATTAGGTCATGGATTTTCAGCACAGCACAAGTTAAACTTCTTAAACTCTTTTTTATGAATTATGTACCCAGCTGAATTTACAATTGTGTTTAAACAGACGCATTCTTACCAAAGTGACTTTTTTAGTGCCCTTACCAACCAAAACAATTTAAATTCTGTTATTATATCACCCATGTGTCGTTCCAAACCTGTTTGACTTTCAACACAAAAGGATACTTTTCAAGCCGCTCTTCAGCATAAAACAAAATTTTATAGTGACTACAACTTAAAAAAAACAAACATGTTTATGATGCTTTGTGACTGTAATCTTCCTCTCAAATCTCACTTGTGATGCTGCATTTATGTGAGAATCTATGGTCTCAAACCTGGTGTGTCATTTTTGAATGAGCGAATGAGATTTCAAAGCTTCAGTTGAGTCTATTTCAGTCAATAACACATTAATAGCAGCATACGGCTTTGATACAGCGTGATGATGACAGCCGTATCACAGTCTACTCAATGAACTGTCTTATAGAATGATGGCAGAAGTGACAGTATTTACTCCTGAGAGTCTCTCAGCAGCCAGAGAGCAGGACCGGACCTGTTCAACTCCACAGACTTGAGAGGAGCTCAACACTTCAGAGGACAATGAGCATTTAAGGTCTGTTTGAAGAGCACAAATAACCTGCAGCCATATGCGGTATACAGTCTGCCCTGAATTACATAATCAAACACCTCACGAGTCACGGGAACACTTGACAATAATGTTAGATACAGCAAGTTAACATTTAAGTTTGCATTTAAAAGTTTTACTTAATGTCAATTCATTCATGCATTATGAATGATCATGAGCTAACAATGAACGATAGTGCATTTATGAATTAACTTTAAAGGAATAGTTCACTCAAAAATGAAAAGTTGCTGAAAATGTCCTCACCCTCTGACCATCCAAGATTAGGATGAGTTTGTTTCTTCATCAGATTTGGAGAAATGTAGCATTGCATCACTTGCTCATCAATGGATGCTCTGCAGTGAATGGGTGCCGTCCGAATGAGAGTCCAAACAGCTGATAAAAACATCACAATAATCCACAAGTAATCCACAGCACTCCAGTCCATCAGCTAACATCTGGAGAAGACAAAAGCTGAGACAAATCCAGCATTAAGATGTTTTTAACTAAAATACCATAGAGTCTATAATCCATAATAACGCTTCCTGCAGTGAAAAAGTGTTCTGGTCTGAATCAGGAGAGAAATCTGCACAGATCAAGCACCGTTTAAACAGCTCTAAACAAATGTGACCCTGGAGCATAAAACCAGTCTTAAGTATCAATTTTTCAAAATTGAGATTTATACACCATCTGAAAGCTAAATAAATAATATTTCCATTGATGTATGGTTTGTTAGGACAGGACAATATTTGGTCGAGATACAACTATTTGAAAATCTGGAATCTGAGGGTGCAAAAAAACCGTTATTATGGATTAATGCTGGATTAGTTTCAGCTTTTGTCTTCTCCAGATGTTAACTGATGGACTGGAGTGCTGTGGATTACTTGTGGATTATTGTGATGTTTTTATCAGCTGTTTGGACTCTCATTCTGACGGCACCCATTCACTGCAGAGCATCCATTGCTGAGACACTGATGCAATGCTACATTTCTCCACATCTGAAGAAGAAACAAACTCATCTACATCTTGGATGGCCCGAGGGTGAGGACATTTTCAGCACATTTTCATTTTTGGGTGAACTACTCCTTTAATGAATGCATTAAAAAACATTGTTAGTTCACGATACCCAATGCATTAGGTAGGTGTTACTGAAGTTACTGAAAACACTTTTTAAAAGTCTGCTTCAATCTGACAAATATCATTAAATAATAATAATAATTAGAATAATTAGAAACATAAGCAGGCCTTATAGCAAAGCAAAGGGACAGCATTAAGAAAATGAATTAAAAACTATCAAATTAAAAATAAACAATCAGCCATCAAAACAAACTCACTTGCCATTACAAAAGAACATTTTGTACAAATGTGAAGTTTATTCTTTAAAGAAGTGAATAATATATAAACTATTGTCTATAAATATAAAGGGTTTTTGATAGTATCACAAGCAGAAGTATCAGAAAGAAGAAAATAACAGATGTCACCGGTGTAGAAAACTGTAATACAGGCTTCAATGCTAGTGTGATTAAATACATCTCTGATCCATGCAAACGCATCTCACAAGAACAGGAGTTTAAGAGCAGGACTCTATCTACCAGTGCTTTCTGTAATCACAACAAAAACATTCATTTGCATGAGATAATCACCATAAACAATCAAGAATCAACATTATTTGATGTTCAGTAAAGGACATTTTTTTTAAAAAGCACATAATGACACAACAAACCCTGAAGAATTATGAACAGGATGATGTGAATTACGCTTACGTAGTGCTTGAGCGATGTGGGGGTTTTATTAGATGATGTTGATACCGATAACCAGAGAGCATACTAATATGCAACCGATACAACTTAAAAATCAGTTAAAAATATCTGAAAACAAATTGCATTATCCATTAACAGACCTGCTGGTAGATTTTGGAAATGATACACAAGACAAGTTGACATGATTATCGTGGATCATCTCAAAAGGGCAAAATATGGGCAGATATATCGGTTTACCGCAACACAAAAGTCTACATCCCAATTTTCACATCATGTTCGTGGATTAGTTACGTTACTAACATGGGCATTAAACTATTTGAGCGATGTGGGGTTTTTAATAGCTGATGTTAATACTGATAACCAGAGTGCAGACTGATATACAACCGATATTACTTAATAATCAATAAAATGATCTGAAAACAAATTGCATTATTGATCAAGAGGCCTGCAGGTAGATTTTGGAAAGGATACACAGGATGAGCATTCGTGATTATCGCTGCTGATCATCTCAAAAAGGGCAAATATCAGCCGATATATCGGTTTACTGCTACACGAAAGTATACATTCCAATTTTCACATCATGTTCATGAATTAGTTACATGGGCATTAAACTATTCAAGCGATGTGGGGTTTTTAATAGCTGATGTTGATACCGATGATTAGAGCGCAGACTGATATACAACCGATTTTACTTAAAAATCAATACAATTATTTGAAAACAAATTGCATTATCGATCAAGAGGCCTGCTGGTAGATTTTGGAAATGATTCACAGGATGAGCATTCATGATCATCACTGCTGATCATCTCAAAAGGACCAAATATCGGCCGATATATCGGTTTATCGCTACACATATGCATCCCAATTTTCACATCATGGATTAGTTACGATACCAACACAGACATTAAACTATTTGAGAAGTGCATTGCAAACACCGTCCATCCTGTTCTAGCTGTATGTTTAGAGGTACTTCTGTGCAAAAGAGCCAAAGGAGAACACAAACCCTTCAGAAACATCACCAAAGATAATTACAGCCTGAAGAAAAACAATGTATACATTTCTTGGAGTTAAACACAAGTGCAGGCCTGACCCCAATGCTGCTCCAAACTGAAAAAGGCACTTAACTGTACATCTTAAAACAAGCCTGAGACTGCTGCTGTCCAAGCCCAGGACAGGCCAGGAGACCAGCAAACCGCTTTAGGCTGGGTTAAGCACATATCAACCATGGGTACTCACTGTTTTTGTTCTAGCTCCTAGTCTCAGCCTCCATAAAACATTCCAGTCCTATAATTCATCTGATCTCAGACCCAAAGCTTTAATTTAAAGCTCAATTCTTCCCATGAAGTGCTGGGTGCACAATTCACACACATTATCATTATTTCTGCATTATTTGCATGTAAAAAGTTTGAATATTTGCCCGTGGAAATACTGATGTCGATAAAAAGACACAGTTTTACATACAAGCTTAAAAAACAGATCCCCACCCAGAATAATCCAAGAGAAAAGGCATAAATAATCTCCAAAACGTTAAGGTTTGTCCAACAAAAGTTCATTTGATTTAAAAAAAAAAAAAAAACGAACATCCAAGAAATCCAAGTGAGATTTAAATACAAATATATACTTACAAAAAAATCACAATCTCTTTAAACAGTCGCTGTTGTTTTTTCCATCAGAAAAAGTGACAAATAAAAAAGCAGTTAAGTCACACTGTTGTTTCTCCTTGTTTGCTGTTCGCCAGTCTCCTGTAGAACTTCCTCCACGAGTTAAGAGTCTTTCCAGACCATATCCAGAATCCAGACGTGATGCCCACGATCAGGGTCATCAGGTACTTGATCATGAACACCGTGAAATCCGGGCTCATCTGCGGGTTGTGGACGGGGCATGGCACCGCGTACGTCTTGCACGTTTGAGCGCTCCACGTCTGTTCCCACTGATCCCGAAAGGCCTGCTCGTAGAAGTAACACGCGATCACGATGGTGGCCGGAACCGTGTAGAGGACGCTGAAGATGCCGATGCGCACCATCAGCTTCTCCAGCTTCTCCGTTTTGGTGCCGTCGTGCTTCATAATGGTCCTGATGCGGAACAGAGACACGAAGCCCGCCAGGAGGAACGAGGTGCCGATGAACAGGTAGACGAACAGCGGCGCCAGGACGAATCCGCGCAACGCGTCCACGCTGTTGATGCCCACGAAGCAGACGCCGCTGAGCACATCTCCATCCACTTGACCCACCGCGAGGATGGTGATGGTCTTGATGGCTGGCACCGCCCACGCTGCGAGATGGAAATATTGCGAATTCGCTTCAATGGCCTCATGACCCCATTTCATCCCGGCCGAGAGGAACCAAGTGAGCGCTAGAATGACCCACCAGATGGAACTGGCCATGCTGAAGAAGTACAGCATCATGAACAGGATGGTGCAGCCTTCCTTTTTGGTGCCTTGCACCACTGTCCTAAACTCATTATCGAACTGCTCATTGCACACCACTTTGTCCTCCAGCAGAAATCCGGCGACGTAGGCGACGGACAGCATCGTATAACACCCGGAAAGGAATATAATGGGTCTTTCCGGGTAACTAAAGCGATTCATGTCCACTAAATAAGTCAAGACGGTGAATAAAGTAGACGCGCAACACAAAACCGACCAGATCCCGATCCAAATCCGCGCAAACTTCTGCTCGTCCTCGCTGAAGTACATCACCCCGTGGAGTTTCTTGGGTTCGCACGGCGCGCCGCAGTTTTCCTCGCCCAGAAAGCGGTAGTTGAGGTACGGCGGGACTTTCAGCGAAGCCGGGCATTTAAAACGGCCCTTCCTGTGATGCTCGGGTGTCGCTTGGGTCACATCTGGAGTCGGGTTGACCGGTGCGCTCCGCTCAGACGTGTTCTGCCCCACGCACAGCTCTCCGCCGTGCACCGGGAACGACTCGCACGCGAGACTCTCCGGCCACTGGAAGCCGAATTTGTTCATAAGCGACTCGCAGCCTTGGCGCGCACGCTCGCACAGCGAACGGCACGGCGGCAGCGCCTGCTCCAGCACCGTGCAAACCGGCGCGTACATGGAGCACAGGAAGAACTTGAGGTCCGGCGAGCATTGCACTTTAACGAGCGGGTAGAACTGGTGCACCTCCAGCCCCGCGTCCTCCTGGTTCGTGTGGCCGAGGAGGTTGGGCATGATGGTCTCGTTGTACGCGATGTCCGTGCACAGAGGGATGGTGATGGGCTGGCAGAAGCCGTGCTCGGGAACCGACATGCCGCGGTCTCCGTACTGCGCGCTCGCTCCCAGTATTGCAAAGGCGAGCAGGAAGAGCGCGGACGCACCGCACGCGGCCATACTTTCCTTCTGCGGTCTGTCTCCTCTCCTCACAGCCAGCTCGCCCGCCGGCGCTCTTCCTCCCCTCCAACTCCCTCGGTCGATTTATCCTGTCAAGTCGGTGTCCAGAAACTTTTAGGAGAGCGCAGCGGCGCCCCGGACGCTGCTCCGCGGATCAAACGCGTAAAGAAAACCCACACGAGTGTCTGATTGAGGCGAATAAAGAGTCGCGCTGTATCGTGTCAGAGTTTCTGTGAGCTGTTCAAACCTGTTTCCAGGCGCCCCGCTGTCTGCTGTTCATAAGCGAGACGCTGGCGGGGCGTTACGGACAGATGGCTCGCGTTAGGGGGCGTCGGGATTTCGTTCGCCTGCGGTTCACGTTCTTTTTACGTTCACTCTTCGAGTTTATAGAGTTATCGGCTGACTTTAGAGATCAGAATAATAAGTAAAAGAGCAGACACCGGGTGTCGGGGTTTCTTTTGCCTGAAGTTTGATTTTTTTTTGCGTTCTTTAAACGTTCGTTCTTAGACTTTATGGGGTTGTTGAATGGAATGCATTTTATCTGCTGACTTTACCAATATATTTAGCATTGTTTTCACCAGTATAAATTCAGAATGGAGTTCTGAATAAGTCAATGCTTGCATATAATGTAAAAATATGGTAAACAGAAATGATGAACTAATATTAGCTTCAAATTTTCATACAAACACTTTAATAAAATAAAAGGAAGAATAACTATCTGCACGAATCTTTCTTTTAACAACAATATTATCATCATCATCATCATCAAATGTATGTTTTTAGAAAGAATTGCACATCTGTAATTATTCCAGAGGTATGATGCATGAAACATTTTTTAAATGTTTTTTCTTTTATTCTTATTATTATTATCATCATCATGAAATGTAATCTTTTGGAAAGAATTGCACATTTGTCCACTGTAAAATAAGACAGACGTATATATTTTACAGGTAGGTGATCACCACCATGGTAAATTTATTTTGCAATGTATATGAACACGTCATAAAAAGTAGAGTCATTTAGAATTATGGGTAAGTGACAAAGGTGACTTAGATATAGAATCACACCATGAATGGTTAAAATGCCTTAAAGATCTCTCCAGAAGGTTAAAACAATTCATCAAATCTGCTAAATAACAATGAACAAAATCTGCTTGCTGTGCAAAAAAACAGAGACGGTCCCTAACGTGCAGCCCTTCCTATTGGTTACTGTGAGTGTCTGCAGGAGAAATGAGAGGAACATGATTTGCTCTGACAGGAGAATGTAAAGACAGCCTTCACTAAGAGTCTGGATACTGGCTGAATACAAAACAACTTCTGCCTGAGTCAAGATTTCATTCAGCTATTTTCCATTTGGTCTTATTGTGCAATATTTTTTGATGAACAAACATGAAATGCTCTACCAGTTCAGCCGCTCATACTGGACTTTCAACTGGAGAGTAAATAAACCAATATATTGTATTTTCAATGTGTAGAATTCGAAATCACTTTAGACAGGACATATAAACTTTTCTTCTATTTACGGTTCACTTGAAAATGACCAGGCCATAACAGTCAATCTAATCTAGATGCTAAAACAAGGTTGCAAGATCGGAATAATCCTGGAACAGACTGGACTGGCCAAACCAGAAAGAGATGACGTGCAAAACATGCATGTAAACTCACTAATAATGTGTCATTTAGGGTAACCATTAACCATTATGTAAACTGAAACCGCCCAGATTTGTCTTAAAAATAAAGGTTGCAAAAGTTTTTTTAAAAACTTTTTTACCACTTTTGGTTCCTCAAAGAACTTTTCAGTAAACAGTTCTTAAAAGAACCATTGTGAAGAACATTTTTCTGATCTAAAGAGCCTTTTTCCTCTATAAAGAACCTTTATAAAGAATTGATTGCACAAAACCATCGATGCCAATAACGAACCTTTATTTTTTAAGAGCATGCAGAAGCAAAAATCATTACTTTTTAATCTCAGTTTGTGAATACAGTTCAATATTAGTCACATGCTATTGCCAACTTCTCTTGAAATCAGTGCAGAGTAGAGCCCGACCGATATGAGTTTTTTGGGGCCGATACCGATATTAGGGAGTAAAAAAATGCCGATATCGATATATATATCGGCCGATATTCTTTGTGTATATTATAGTACAGTACCACCCCCCCCGTGTCGGTAGCCCCCCCAGGATCGCCAGATCGGTCGGAGCCGGACCTCGAATTTAACCACCCGTAACTCCCTTAACCCCGGGGTCTATCGATGCGGGGGTGGTCTCATTCGAAAGCGGGCCTCTAGACGTACACTCGATTCGCGTTCGAGAGGATTCCTCGAGCTGAAGGGATCCTCCGAATTTGGTGTGGATTCGCTGCGCCGTTACGGAGATATGGCCGTTCAAAGTTTCAATGGTTTTCCATAGACTTTAGCTTTAAAGCGTTTCATCCAGCTCGCCAGTAGCAAACAATGGAGCGCGCTCTGCTGGACAAACTAAATAATTACACAATTTCAAGCATTTTATCTGTGTTATATGTTCTGTAAAAAATTTTTTAATATCGGCGGCATATTCGCCGATAACGATATATCGGCGACAGGCTCATATCGGCCGATAATATCGGCAAAACGATATATCAGTCGGGCTCTAGTGCAGAGTGCTTCAAATCATCGATTGTGAAAACGAAGGTTGGTTTGAAGCATTAATAAACTTTATTTATTTCAGGTAAAACAACAATAAACAACATTTACAGAAGGACATTACATCTTCCATAATAACATTACATACAGGTTTCTAACAAATAATGCAATTCCTACTCTAATATAGTCTAAGTTTCGTTCGTTATAAAGTGACCAGTTACACATCTAGGTTCCAGAACTGCTTGTCAAAAGTCTGCATTATTTCAGTGCATCTTACAAAAAAGAAAAATAGATATAGGCAAGTGAAGCGAAAACACAGATTCAGTGTTCAGCACAGCGGATGCATGTTCAACCTCCACGTCTGTTTCCCAACGAGAATATACGGATATGAACCAGTCGAGGGGGCGTTCGTGAGCCTTAACGCTGAATATATACTGTATATACAGCCTAGTATATAACAAAGATTACAAAAAGAGTAAATATTCACAGATGAATTGAGAATAACATGGTATTGACAGCACATTCCATAGCAGAGCAAACCGGGAATCTAAAGCTGTTCCCTTTTCATGGTATATTTACATTTATATATCGATTTTATAACTATGGAAGCCCCTTTCTGCCACTGAATTAAAAAATGTAAAAACGGTAAGTGTGACTTTTTATCTCGCATATAAATTCACAATTGTGAGAAAAAAGTAAAAATTGCGAGATATAAATTTGCACTTTGAGTCGCAATTCTCAAGTCAGAATTGAAAGATATTAACTCGCAATTGCGAGAAAAAAAGCCAGAATTGCGAGATTTAAACTCACTAAACTCGATAAACTCGCAATTCTGAGAAATAAAGTTGCAATTCTAAGAAAAAGTCAGAATTGCTAGATATAAACTCGCAATTGCATGATCAAAAGTCATAATTGCGATATATAAACACACAATTGTAAGAAAAGACTTTATAACTCGCGTTTGTTTATATCTCACAATTCTGAAAAAAGTCGGAATTGCGAAGAAAAAAAAAGTCAGAATTGCAAGTTTATATCTCGCAATTCTGACTTTATAACTCGCAATTTTAAGTTTATATCTCGCAATTCTGACTTTATAACTCGCAATTTTAAGTTTATATCATGCAATTCTGAGAGAAAAAAAAAGTCAGAATTGTGAGATAAAAAGTCGCAATTACCTCGTTTTATTTTTTAATTCAGTGGCAGAAATGAGCTTCCATAAATAACCAACTTTGGAGCAAGCGCCTATGATTATGCAAACATGATGTCTCTTCTTTTTTGTGAGTTCGTCACAGTGCTAAATGTGCAATAATCATTTATTATTACTTTTCTCCATCCCTTTTTCTTGCAAAAAAGGAGACTCTAGACACCTTAAAGTGGTGATAAAATACAGCATGTCACATGTAAATCTGCAACCGCCACAAAGACAGGAGGAGCTCTTACATGTTTCAAGCATGTTGCATGAAAATTATTATTGGGCTCCTAATACTGGCTGGAATCCTTTAATGCCGCAGTGAGTTTGGAGGCATGAATGTGGCTCCGTCACGTTTCGACAGAATCACAGCTCTCTTCATAATCGCAACATTAAAAAAGTCTCTTCATTTCTGAGAATATGTAAATATAAACTGGTTAGTTGAATAAAGGCCATGTTCACACTGCAGATTAATACGGGTGTCACTCCTCTTCACATGCACTGCAAAACAATCTGTTGCTTACTCTGTATTTTTGTTTTTCAGTATAGTACAAGAAGCAAAATTTTAAAGATATTAAGTCTTGTCTTCTGAAAAATTAGTCAAAAGTTTATACTCAAAACAAGAAAAAGATTATGGAAGCTTTCTCCACAGATAACAATTTTGTCAATTCTGATAAAAAAAAATAAAGTCAAAATTGTGAGATATACTCAGAATTGCCAGATAGAAACTCGGAATTCTGTCTCTCTCACAATTCCGACTTTTATATTTCAATTTATATTTCTAATATATACTATCATATTATTATCAGAATTGAGAGTTAATAACTCTCAATTCTGAGTTTATATCTCGCAATTGACATTTTCTCAGAATTGCAAGAAAAACAGAAGTGTGAGATAAAAAGTTGCAATTGCCTTTTAGTAAGAAAAAATAAAACTTAATTCAAAGGGAAAACAAGTTTATTTTCCTGACCTCACTGACATTTTTTTTCCTTTTAAGCAAAAACCCACTTAATTTTGATAAGTTCTTCAGAAAACTATATTTAACGACGCATGTCTTCATGCATCTCAAATAAATGTATCTTGATTTGAGAACGTTTCGATATTTGCACTGGAAAACAAGACAACAAATAATTTTTTTTGCAGTGTAGAGCATTGAATTTACTCATTTGCACCACTTTTGTGCACTGTATTTAAGTGCATGTTTACTGTTATTGAATCTGCATAATACCTTTAGTGAATTGGGTGCTAAAATACATTAATACATCTTCATTTCGTAACATTTATTTTGTCCGAAAAAGCAAACACAATGTTGCTACGATTATCACTATATCAGCCAAATGAAATTCAGGATTAAGAGTGAAAATCAGGTTACGCAGTGTGTACGTGGCCTGACCGAAATTACAGGAGCAAAACACGACCTTATAAGCTGGAATGTTGCGCAAACATGTCGAAAAGTGCATTCGCAGTAAGCGTCGACCTTTTAAAGTTCATAAATCTCATTGCTCTTTAACTAGTCCTCTGACCATTAGTCATAACATTATGACTAAAGCTGAATCAAGAACTTCATTTTGCACAAATATTAATTTAATAAAAATGGATCATGTCTGGATTTGCACCGTATAATAACTGCAAAGGCGTGATGTGTCACTGGACGTCATGCACGTCTGTACACATTCCATTCGCTTCTGATTTATTAAATAATCTGTTTCTAAACAGGTGTGTTACTGTACAAATCTGAACTCATTTCACTTCTTTATTCGATCCGTGTTAACAGTGCAGAGCCAAACATTGCTATTGTTCAATTAGCTCTTACACTTATAGAAAGCAAAATCCATTGATATTTCACAACATACTGAGAGAAAGAGAAAATACCGTACCCAAATGGAGATTATATTATTATGTTGATCGTCTGTTGTACAGAAACCAAATGGACGAACATGAACAGGAAGAGCAGTATCAGTATTCAGATTGGCAAGTTGGGAGAGTAGTGCACTTTGGGAAGGTTCTTCCGATCAAACTCCATCTCGAAAAGATGCTTGAGAAATGCGTTAGCTTCATCAACAACACTTCAGTTTGAAATGTTAAAGGCTGTTCACATAATGCATACTTGCACTTATAAACAGCTAGAAAAATTTAATGCTTGAGTCTTGAAATTTATTTTCAAATTATTTTACTCTTCCATTATGTTCCAATTTGACCCACAACACATTTTTGAGTTACTGGTTAACCTGAAATCACGTAACTAATTCTCATTTAGGGTCATGAACATGCATGCAAAGTTTTGACACTGGTGTGTTGTGGACTATGTATGAAATTCTGTTTTAAAGTTTTCAATTTGACCCATTTCAATTTGAACCCATTTCATGGTTAAAGGCATGTGTTCAGATCCGAAATAAAAAAATAAATATGTATTTTGTTTGGTATTTGCATTTATTATGCATTTGGCAGATGCTTTTATTTCAAGGAACATGCGCTGCGTTGAAGGCGTATGTTTTTATTAGTTCATGCATATGAATTTTGCTGGGAATCGAACCCATGATCGTGCTGTTGCAAGTGCCATGCTTCTAAAGTTTGAGCTTTAGGAAAGTATACAAAAGAAAAAAATTAATACAATTTTAAATGTAAAACTTTTTTTTTTTTTGGATAAAAAAAAAAAATACTATTTATAATCTTCACATTTTGTGAAAAATGTTTTAAAAAATTTCAATGTAAACTTTAAAGAAAATTTAAATACTCTTTATAATATTCAAATTTTGTGAAAAATGTTTAAAAATAGTTTTAAAAATCATATGTTCTCATGTGTACTTTTTTGTAATGTGTGAGAACTATTAATGTTAAAGGTTTACTGTTTTTACCTGATTTTGTTTTTCATAGAGTGATTTTTGGTGAACTGTACTGAACCCAATTCTGATTTTTACATAACATGATATGGCTTAAAAATTAAACGCTAAAGCATTTCTGTAGCTCAAACAGTAGTGCAAGCAACGGCAAGGTCTTGGGTTCGAATCTCAGTGAATGCATGAACTGATCAAATGTAAACTTTGAATGCTATATACTTTAAGTTGGATAAAAGCATCTGCAAAATGCATAAACGTAACGAAAAAAAGCAGAGCTCATGCAACAAGATACAGAGATGTCCATTTAAATAAAAAAACAGCACAACCTGTGCAAACATCCTCTAACAGTTCAAAGTAAATTTTGGGCCGTTTTAACGATCAGTTAACGAGTGCAATTTGTTATAAGATTGTCATGGGCCTTCGGACGGAACAGCGAAAATAGATTTGTTTCCAAACATGGACGAGTGATTTTCTTTCTCATGCACATTAGCACCAGTGCAAGCGTATTGCCTGTATTTAACACTCAACGCACATGTAAACGCACACAGACGTACACAAGACTCACAGTTATCTGCCGTTAGTGATGGTATTCATTGCTTAAGCGCAGTCCCTGCAGTGAGTGAATGTGCACCATCAGGCTGAAACCGCATTGTCAGTGTGATTATCGTTATTACTAGGGATGCACCAATACTAAATTTCTCAGCCGAAACTAATAACCGATTATTCAGAATGACATCTGCCGATACCGATTGCGATTATTCAGAATGATATCTGCTGATACGATACCGATAGCCAATTATTCAGAATGATATCTGCCGATACCGATTATTCAGAATGATATCTGCTGATACGATACCGATAGCCGATTATTCAGAATGATATCTGCTGATACGATACCGATAGCCAATTATTCAGAATGATATCTGCCGATACCGATTATTCAGAATGATATCTGCTGATACGATACCGATAGCCGATTATTCAGAATGATATCTGCTGATACGATACCGATAGCCAATTATTCAGAATGATATCTGCCGGTACCGATTATTCAGAATGATATCTGCTGATACGATACCGATAGCCGATTATTCAGAATGATATCTGCTGATACGATACCGATAGCCAATTATTCAGAATGATATCTGCCGATACCGATAGTTTAGTTTTCTTAAGGAAAAGAAATTCTCCCAATTAATGCTATAAACTATACAGGGAGCCTCTCATTTGGTACATATTAGAGATTAAAATTAACAACAAAACTATATTCAATGCTATTTATTTTCAGATATAATAATCACACTCAAAATAAAAAAGTTTCGATACAATTCAATTACACAACGTAGTTCTCATAAAAACGGTCTTTATGACAGATTTATTCAAAAACATATATAATTAACAATATATAAGCTCCGTCTAGTTTTTTTATAGCTACCTAACCAACTGTGAAAACAGGATAACTTTCCTGAGGTGAATGCAACGTTAAGCAATACACTGTTCACAAGCTGTTTTATTTGACGTCTTTCTTTCGGTTGAAATGCTGATTGAGTGATGATATGAGACATGACACATTTCGATAAGATGTACTGTATCTTTCAACGCCTTCTGATGTTCATTCATGTTTATTTCACACTATAACTTGTTTTAAAGTGGAAGAGACTCGCGCTCCGCACTGCCTCTTGAACTGAAGTGCAACAGAGATCTGAACCCCACAATTAAGAGCGTCAAACGGCATTTATTATTCTAATTTTGCAATAAAATGGACATTATTTGAGAGCTGAGACCTTGTTTCTTATCAGAAGTAAGAAAGCACAAAGCTCCTGTGATTATTGGACGGGAGGTTCATTACAAATAACGTTTGGCGATCTAGCAACCCTGGCTTGAACTACGGGTGCTTCACAGGGTCAAACAGAACTTGTGTTAACACGTTGCGTTAATGCGTTATTATTGCTTTAACTTGGACAGTCTTAAATTCAACACAACACAAGTTGCTGTCTGACATGTTTTTCCGCCCCCTTTTGATTGACAGGATATAATCGGCCCTGATCATTGGCTGTTTTTAAGCAGTCGGTCTATGGCTGATAGTGCAGGTAATTGTTTTCTTAATTGTTACTTCGGTGCATCCCTAGTTATTACTGTGGAAATTATTGTCATGTTATTGGGCGTGCAGCTGGACCGTACCATAGCCAATAATGTGTAAGATTGCAGGAAATGCAAAATGCCAGCTTGGTCTCGATAATGCGTGATTGTGCACGGGAGGGCATTTGGTTTGTTCTCTTAGATAGACACGTATTTAACTGTACAAACATTTGTACATAGGTAGCTATACATAGGTAGCTACATACACAAACAGTTCGTATTAATTGCCTTTCGAAGTCCGAACGTCGCTCGCTTGCCGTCGATGTGGGAATGTTACGCCACATTCCTGATGGTAAAACTCAGATTTGACTGATTTGCTCTCAGTCCCATGTGGAAGGTCAAACCAACCGGAAATGAAATAATTTAAATAAACATTAAGTGTCGTTCCCGTCTCCTTCTTCTTTTTGTCTTTTTCATATCTTGACGGCTGACAGCGCCAACCTGCAAAACAAGAGAGACAAAAGCATTCAAGGTCAGTCCTGATGTGCACTTTTAGCAACTGAACTGTAGTTCTGACGAGACTTTCATGCACTGGTCAATTTTGAGATTTTGGGCTATTTGGCTTTCCATAATGTGGAAAGAAAACATCCCAAAATACACATTTAAGTGTTTATTTCATTACACTTTATTTGTGTCTGTAGATTTCAATTTCAATGCATATCTTTAAAGTCTGTTTTCTCAAAATGAGTTTCTTTGTCCACTTCAGCAGCACTTTCATACACCAAACTTTGCAGTTTTATTCCTCTCTATATTCTGAAGGGTTTTACTGAGAGATTTGTTCATATATTATCACACTGATTTATACAACATTTTACTCCTAAAAACATGGTAAAAATGTATTTTTGTCTGTCTGTTGACAGTATTTTTTGATTTATGGAGTAATAAAAAAAGAAATCCCAAATCCCCTCAGGAAAAACCTTTAACTCTAAATATGTTAACAAAATCAAACAAGAATTTTGAACCTGGCTTTATCCGATGTTCAGATTTACGTTCAGGAAATTTGTGCAAATTAGTGCATGTTTAATTAAATGTATTTATACATTACATAAAAATAAAAAAAAATGTTAACACAAAAAATGTTTGTAATTGTGAATGTAATCTATCAGCTGGTGAAGTATGGTGAAATCTATTAGTTCATTTTTACCCTAATCGCCTGCAGTGTTTTGCCTCAACTATATTAAATTATGTATTTCAATCAACTACATTTTTAAAGCAGCTTCACAGCGCTGGTGAGGAGGATGATGGGATGCAGAGGAAAGTGTGTGTGTGTGTGTGAGAGTGTGTGTGTGTGTGTGTGTGAGTGTGTGTGTGTGCCTTTATCAAGAGCCCAAAGCATGTGTGTGTGTGTGTGTTTGTGTGTGTGTGTGAACGAGGAAATCGACCAGCTCAGAAACACACCGTCCCACAAACCCAACAAACTACATCCACTGAAGGCCGGGCGATAAATAGATATTCATCAATGATATTGATAATGAACTTAAGCGATATTTAGCCTACATCTACACTTCAAGATACGATATGGAAAAACATATTTTAAATAAAAGAAGAATTTGAATAACTTAAAGAATAAAAAATAACAAGAGATAAGACATTTGGTTCATACCTCTGAGTATCGTATATATAAATAGCAACATTCTTTTAATCACTACATTCTTTTACATGTAAGTTCATGTAAAACGTCAAAGCACATGTATTTGCTCAGTTACAGCTCGTCTCGACAGACAGTCAGAAACGATCATCTATTGAATATTCCCTTTAACTCTCAAACCAATTCATTAAATGTTGAACCAGTGAAACACACAAGACCTTCTTCTCTTCTCTTTATGCGCTCGGGTCAAAGATTTGATGCTCATTCAATTTATTATCCGATTTATTAATTTATTAAAAAATGCATGAAAAATGCAATTCATGAGAGTTAAATACAGCACTCACTGAAATATTCTTTTCTGGGGCATTAAGTTATAGATGACGACGACGACGACGATGACAACAACAACAACAACAATAATAATAATAAATAAACAAACAAAAGCTGAAATAAAAAGAAATAATACATTTTCAATAATTCTGATTAATTTAATAATATTCCAAATAATTATTTCAAAAAAAAAAAAAAATGGTGAAGCAGTGTTGCTTCAAAATATTATTATTATTATTTTAGTACATTATTATTATTATTATTAGTATTTTTGTTTAGTATTTAGCATTTATTAATATTTTGACTTTTTCTGTTCTTTTGAGGTTTTTATTTTTATATTTTCATTTTAGTGTTTTATTTTAAGTTTTAGTAATTTTGTTATGCGTTTATTTATTTATTTAAACATTTTTTTGTTTAGCTTTAATTTATTTTTTATTCCAGTTTTAGTAATTTAATAATTTCGATACATTTTTATTTCAATTACTTGCTAAGGCAAAGTCTTTTTTTTTTTTTTTGAGTTTAAGTTTTTCACTTAATATTTACATTTCATTTTTATCTAAGCTTAATTTGAATCGAGGAAAACAATTTTTAATAGTTTTAGTAAACAATAATAAAACCGATGAGCAGGAAATCTCATTTTACCAGGATGTCTTCAGGAAACCTGTTTGAAAACAATCATTTTTGCAATTCCACGTGGTGGCGCTAGTGAGGCAGAAATTACACACCAAAACTAAAAGATGTTAAAGCTGATCATGTTTAGATTGCACTTAATATTTGTCAAGTATAATAATCAAAAACACCCAATCACATCCTTACAAGAAGAGAATCTCTCAGAATCTCTCAGCGATGAGCGTCAGGTTCTCGTGTGAGCAGAAGAATGCCAGATGTGTTGAAGAGCGTCTCTGACTGGTTTAGCCAACACAATGAGGAGAAGGGCTCCTATAGTCCTCAGCCAGCAGACGGCTTTCTTAACAGTGCAAATTTAATTAAAAACGAGGATTTAAAGTGCACTGAAAAGTTTCCAGTCATTAAAGGCGCAGGAATGCCGTGTTTCGGCCAGGACGCGACTCAAGCACGTCAGTGCTGTTCATTTTCATTTTAATGACCTCCATCACTTCAGCTCCACACAGAACGTGTGCTATGAAAGCCAGTAAAGTGCTCCTCACTAGTGACAGCTTTATAGTGAGGGCGGTGGATTAAACCTTTCAACTAAACAGCTTGTTAAAATCAAGTTCTGCTCAGCTGGAGTCTCCAAACACAACTGACAAATAATGACAGTTTCACAAACACTCCCTCGACTCTCATTGGCCAGGCAGACAGAAAGTCCCGCCCCAAACTCACATGATTGGTTGAGTCAAAAATTAACATGACTATCACTATGATTATGACTTGAAATCATATCAACATTTCTTTTTTTCCAGGAATGAAAATACTGTTATCATTTCATGCTCGAAATATGATTTTTTTCCCTGTTGAACACAAAATACCATTAATGTTGCTCTTTTCTATAAAATGAAAGTGAATAAAGATGGACACTGTCAAAAAATAACAACAACAAAAACTAATAAATATGTGAAATTTTGCCTTGGTAAATGAAATAAGTAAGTTTAAGCTGAAGAACTAAAATGACTAAAACAAAAACTGAAATAAAAATAAATTTAAAAGCTGAAATAAAAATAAATTAAAGCTAGATATAAATAGCTAAATATAAATATAAAAAAGACAAACTAATAAATAAATCACAAAAGCACCTAAAGTTACTAAAACTAAAATGAAAATAAATAAATAAAAATCTTAAATTCTAAAGCTGAAATAAATAATAATAATAATAATAATAATGAGAAATGTTGCCTAGGTAACCAGCTGAAATAAATAAGTTGAAGTTGAAGTTGAAGTGAACGGAAATAAAATTAAATTTAAAAACTGAAATAAAAGTAAATTAAAGCTAAATATAAACATTAAATAACTAATAAAAATGACAAGAGCACATAACAAAATTACTAAAACTAAAGTTAAAATGAAAACTGAAAATATAAAAATAAAATCTCTTTCAAAGCTCAAATAAAGTAAAATGAAATTAAACAAATATTAGAAGAAAAACTTAAACATGCTTTAAACTTAAAAATGTTACAAAAAATGCAACTGAAATAAGTTTAAGTACTAAAATTACTAAAACCAAAACTAAAATAAAAATACACTATACATAAATAGAAATATTTTTCATTTTGAACACAAAATAACATTAACACTGCTCTGTCATTACAGAGTCATAAGCGTAGTTCAGATAAGACTAGTGCACTGTATTTACGTCAGATGATGCTTTGTGTGAGAATCAGTCATTATTTGTTGTTTATTGGCATTATGGTGAGTAATTGATTGTGATTTCTGCGGAACGTTTTCGTTCTCTCGTCTCTGAGCAGGTTGTTTGAGTTAGAGCAGCGCTTGCTCTCGGGTTAAAGATTGATTTTGGATCAATCATAATAAAGCTGTGCAGACATAGAATTACATAAATGTCCTGGCTTCATCATACTAAATGTGTAAGGATTAACTCTATAATAAATATCATCACGTTCTCTTCCAGATGGAGCGCTTGTCACTTCAGTTCATCACGGCTATAAATACAAATAAAAATCATTTTCAGTAATTGAAATAAAGCTGAAATTAAATAAAATAAAATATGAATATTAGATGAGATGCTTTGTGTGAGAATCAGTCATTATTTATTGTTTATTGGCATTATGGTGAGTAATTGATTGTGATTTCTGCGGGACGTTTCGTTCTCTCGTCTCTGAGCAGGTTGTTTGAGTTAGAGCAGCGCTTGCTCTCGGGTTAAAGATTGATTTTGGATCAATCATAATAAAGCTGTGCAGACATAGAATTACATAAATGTCCTGGCTTCATCATAATAAATGTGTAAGGATTAACTCTATAATAAATATCATCACGTTCTCTTCCAGATGGAGCGCTTGTCACTTCAGTTCATCACGGCTATAAATACAAATAAAAATCATTTTCAGTAATTGAAATAAAGCTGAAATTAAATAAAATAAAATATGAATATTAGATGAAAAACTCAAACTTAAACTTAAATGAAAATCAGAAATTGCCTTGGCAACTGACTGAAATAAATAAGGTTAAATTGAAGAACTAAACTAAAAACTGAAATAAAAATACATTTGAAATAAAATGTACAAGAGCACATAAAAAATTTTAAACTAAAATAAAAACGAAAACTGAAAATATAAAAATAAAATCCAATTCAAAAGTTGAAATAAAATAAAATATAAATATTAGATGAAAAACTTACATATGATCATAAAAGAAAATTACATATGTTGCCTTGGTAACTAACTAAAATAAGTTTAATCTGAAGTACTAAAATTACTAAAACTGAAATAAAAATAAATTAAAGCTAAATAGAAATATACGAAACTAATAAAAGCACATACAATTACTCAAACTAAAATGAAAACTGAAAGTATAAAAATAAAAACTAATTCAAAAGTGAAATAAAGTGAATAAA